GAGGGAGGGAGGGAGTGTAGAGCACGCGGGACTACTCCCTGCCGAACGCCAGGGAGGGGGACGCAGGAACGGGCGGGCCCGTCGCGATTCTGCGCCCGCCCTCGCCAGTGGTCGCGCGCGCGCGCTGGCGTACGATCCCGAGAGCGCGCGGGCGGGGTCGTGGCAGGTGGGGTCCATGGGGCTCCCTTGGCGGCCCGAATCTGGCCACTGCGACCGTTGCCGTGTCTCCAGGGCTCCCCCGAGGGCGCGAAGTTATTCGCGCTTCGCGGTCCTCGTTCCTTCTCCCCCTCCTCCTCGTCCTCCTATTCTCCCTTTGGGAGGGCGGCGCGAGAGCGCGAAGTTATTCGCGCTTCGCGCAGCGCGAAGCGCGAAGTTGGGAGCCCTTGTGTCTTGCCTTTGGACCTGCCTCTTTCTGGCGTGGGCGTTGCCGTCAGCTTGGCTGCTGCCGCTTCGTCGTGAATGTCCGAGCTAGGCAGCGCGAAGCTCATTCCCACTGCTCGACGGCCCTCGCTGCTCAGCAATTCCTGGCACGGCCCAGTGGCTTGCTTCCAGCGTGCTTGCAGATTGCCTCGACCTTTTCTCGCACTCGTCTTCCAGGCGCCTTCAATTATTTGCATTGTTTTAGCGCTCCTTTCGCTTGTACTCATGTTGCCAGCTACGTCTTCATTCCATTTCATGACGCTTTACGTACCCTCACCATCCCACCCGAAAAGCAAGCACCAGGCGACTTGCCCTGATGCGGAGTAGCAGCATGCAGTCACGCTGTGGGAGTCTCTCGGACGCATCTTGGGGCCATATTGGAGGCCGTCGGCCAAAAAGGAGGGCGGCGCGAATCGGCGTCCCCCCGACGGAGCCCTTCGTGTCGCCTCTTGGGGCCCTCTTCAGGCGTTGCTGGAGCGCTCTTGGACCCCCTGGGGGGGGCCCTCTTGGGCCCCTTGGGCCCCATCTTGGGGCTCCCTTGGGGCCGTCTTGGAGCCATCTTGGGGCCTCAGGAGTCCATGGGCAGCGAGGAGGCGGGAGGAGGAGGAGGAGGAGGAGGAGGAGGCGGGAGGAGGAGGAGGAGGAGGAGGAGGAGAAGACCTTGAGCTCTTGGGGCAGGGCCTCGACCTCCCGTGGGGGGCGCGTCCCGGGCAGGCTCCGTGGCCCCATGGGAGCCGTCGTGGGCCGGTCGCGGCACTTCGTGCAGTCATGCAGGAGGCTATAGCCTGAAGCATCTTACAGTGGAGACTGTTAAGGCCCAGCAGCACGACCACCCCCCCTTATAAAACGACACGAAGATCGGGACAAAATCGGATCGGGATAATTCGAAATCTTTGAGAATCGGCGGGTTTGGAGGATGTATGGGGCGCCGCGGCCGCTCCAGAGCGTTCCGGAACGCTCTGAGAGCGCTCCGGAACGCTCTGGAGCGATTTATCCCGATCCTAGCCCTGTTTTATTGAAGCATCTTACAGTGGAGACTGCTAAGGCCCAGCAGCACGACCACCACCCCCCTTATCGGGGGCGGAAAAGAGGGGGGTGATGACTAGAAGGGGGTGGATATCATGGCGTGGGCTATGATATTTCCCCAGATCTCATGGCGCATCTTCTTATTTCATTACGTCCCTGGCCCCCCCGCTGGGCCGCGCACATGCCGCCGGTCATGATTGGCACCCCCCCTCTTGGACACCCCCCTCTTGGCCGCTCCCGTCCTTAAGTTCCGTTCCGTGCGTCGCCCGTGCGTTGGCCCTGGTTTGCGTCATTGTCCCAAATCCCGGCCTCCCACAGTGCGCGGGCGACATGTGGCGCGACATGCGGCGGTCTCCACTGGAGACCCATGCCAAGAAACACCCTGCTCGCCTCCAGAGTGCCCTGGGTCTCTTGGGTGTCGACGGTTCTGCTACGGAAAGCGCGACGTGCCCCCACCGTCCAGAATCAATGGACGTCCTGGGGTCAGGGTCGGGTTTCTTGCGGAAGGTTTCTTGTTGTCGGGCTTTTATTGTAGGCTAGTTTTGTGCGCTCGTGGAGGTCATCTGGAGCTGTCTCGGGCCATCTTGGGTCGTCTCGGACTCGCCAACCCCGCTCTGGCCCGTCGTGGCCCTCACCAGACTCAGGGAGGGGGCGCCGGGGGAGCGGTGAGCTTCCCCCCGAGGGGGGCAGAAGAGGTATGAACAGCTGACTCCGTGAATCGCGTACTCCCAGAGAGCTGGTGGGATTTGTCCCACAACATTTGCGGGCTTTCGTGCTGGATCAGACCATGAACCGCAGAGGGCATTGATTAGTTGGTCGGCCCTGCCAAGTCAAGGGTACCCTTGTGTCCTGTCTTCAAAGGCTTGTATTTTGTTACATTCCTATGCCAAATCGCACCCCCTCCCCCCTCCCCCAATGGAGATCTTGGCTGTTTTTGGCCTGCTTCAAGCGGGTAGAGTCTCCCCCATAATAGGGACGCACTGCTGCAAACAGTCGCATTAAGCACAGGTCCGCAGCCAGACCCCCCCTATCGAAACGCCGAACAAGAAAACGTTCACAAAGTAGCCCTCGGAAGGGTCTTGTGTTTTCTCGCGTGCCCTCTCCAATCAAGCCCGGCTGTCTGTTGCTTGCCGTGGATGCCGTGGCGGCAGCTGCCGACGGCCAAGAGCATGCGCGACGGTAAAAGGGACCCCGTGGTGTGTATATATATATATATATACACACATATATATATATATATATATATATATATATCGTGCGCTGTGTGTTCGTTGGGCCCTGGCCTGCTGCGGTGTTCGCTGGTGCACCGGGCAACCGCTGCTGCTCGCAGGCCGCCGGCGAGGATCTGGGCCTCCCCGATGGGGTCGGAGTAGACGGGGCCGGAGGATCGCGCGACATCGCCGATCGGGACTCAAGAAACTCAGGAGAGGAAAAAACACACAGACACAATGAATCCTCGATTCCCCAGAAAATATGGGAAAATATGGGAAGTGGGGGGGAAGACAGAAACCCAGAAAATATGGGAAAATATGGGGAATATATCTATTTGTGTGTATTTATTCGTGTGTCCTGGGGCCCCTTCAGAAACGGGGGTCAATGCAAACGGGGGTCAGCCAGGGCTCCGGATCCTGCAGGATTCTGCGAAGACCCCCTCTGGCTGACCCGGGTTAGCGAGCCGCTCGTGGCCTCGAGGCGGCCGCGCATATGGGCTGACCCGGGTTTGCGAAGACCTGCGTTGCAGTTTTGTTGTCCTGCATTGCAGTTTTTTGGTGTCTTGCTGACCCGGGCCTGGAATGACCCGGGTCAGAAGATCCCCGAGCCGATGCATCGCCCATGCGGCTCGATGTGGGGCCCGATATGTTTCACGTCGACGTCGCCGATGCATCGCCGACGTCGACTATGCATCGCTGGTGCATCACCGATGCATCGCCGATGTGTCGGCGATGCGGCGCGATCTTCCGACCCCATCTACTCGGACCCCATCAAGGAGTCCTCTCGAGGAGGAGGAGGAGGAGTGAAGATTCCGTGGTGTATATCGTGCGATATGGTCATTGACCCCTCGTCTGGCTGCGGTTTTCGCCGCTGCACGGGGGTACCGCTGCTGCTCACCGGCCGCCGGCAAGGATCGCACGCCATTGAGGGGAAAAAAGGGAGAGAGAGAGAGAGAGAGAGAGAGAGAGAAAAAAAAAAAAACAAAAAAAAGGGTCCGACGAGTCCAAACTGCCCCCGGAGGGGGGCCCATCGGAGAGGACCTTCTCTGACACTCTGGCATGGGACAAAACCCTTCCAGGGGCCAACGACAGGGCCTTCCCCTAGGAAAAAAGCTTGCCTTCATCCTCTACTAGCGGGTCGTTGGCCTGATGCTTGACACGAAGCTTGCTGCCGAGGTTCTGCGCCTCCCCTTCGTTCTAGCCGAAAGCCTGGAGGCAATCAGACAGGCACAAATCGTGCCGATTGAAAAACCGCGGAGCAGGTTCGCTCCTCCCTCCTCCAGGCTGGGCCCCAGCACCGCTCTCCACGACCCCCCCCCCGCGAACAGCTCCCGCACCTTGACCCCAGGGGTGCACCCTGGGCCCAGCCCGAAGGGTCGGTTGGGATACCTCAGCCGCGAAATGCTGGACCTGTTTTGCGGCGGGCCCGACAGAGGCCACTTGCGACCCCAGGCAAGGGCCTTTTTTACCGTGCCGTTTTTGATACATGCTCCGCGTGCGGAGCATGTATTCAACATGCAGGGATTTATTACTAAAAAGAACGATGAGTTCATGCACACATTTATTCATACATTAGTCATGTATTAAGAATCCAATGTGTTTAAACATCCCGTGGATTAAAAACTGCCCTCGTAGACCTTTGGCTCCGTGGGAGGCCGTGGCGTACAGTCACCACCTGTGGAGTCAAGACGGGAGCGGCGGGGCCCGTCCGGCAAAGCAGGAGAGACTGACGCAAGCAGTGCCCGCCCTCTCTCCCGGGGGCCTCGCCAGGCTCGCCTCGCACCCTGCAGTTTACCAGCCTCGAACGTATCCCTATCCCTAGGATTGACACGCCAAAAGGCGATGACAATCTTAGGGATTCGCCCTCAAAACATGAGGGAACCCCTAAGATTGACGTCGTGGTGAGGAGGTGCCCAGCATAGGGATAGGGAGATGTTCCAGGCTGGTAAACAGTGCCGTTGTTTAACACATGCTCCGCGTGCGGATCACGTATTACAAATGCAGGGATGTAGTATTAAAAACAACGATGAGGGCATGCATACATGTATTTTTACATTGATCATGTATCAAGAACCCTGTATGTTTAAGAATCCTATGTATTAAAACCTGCCCTGTAGACACATCGTCCATCTGCGGGGCAGACGGCGACGAGGCAGGAGCGGACACAGGAGAGGGAGGACCAGAGGGAGGAGCAATGATACGCAGCAGCATCGGCAGCCTCCTCACGCCGAGCCGCCTCCAGGGCCCCCTCCCAACCAGCATCTCCCTCGATGGAAACCAAGCTGAGGCCCTGAGCTCCACCATTGTCGAAGCGGCCTCCTTCGCTGTAAAAAACCTCCGACC